GAGTTCGAAGGAAAGGTCGTTTTTGCATTTTTGGTTTTTGCAACTTTTGTAAATGTGCGCCAAAGAAGGCTGAATGGCAATTAAGGTCTTCACCAGCATGTCCCAAATGCTAGCCACTGCCTTCCAAGTGTCCTTCCCCTGCAGCAGCAGAAGCAGCAGCAGCAGCAGCAGCAGCAGCAGCAGCAGCAGCAGCAGCAGCAGCAGCAGCAGCAGCGGGGGCGGCAGGAGAGCAGCAGGTTTTCTTGTTTATTGTTCAAGGTGAGCAGCAGACGACAGCAGCAAGTGAGGGAAAGTAGTGCGAGGGAGTAAGCCCCAAAGAAGCAGCAGCAGCAGCAGCAGCAGCAGTAGCAGCAGCAGCGACAGCAGCAGAAGACAAAAAGGTGCAGAAAAACAAAAATAATAAATAAAAGCTGCAGCAGCAATCTGGCGAAAAGCCCTTCATTAAAAAGAGAAAAAAAAGGGGAGAAGGAAGAAGGAGATGTTGGGAAGCAAGAAGAAGTCCAGCATTAAAAAAAAGAAAAAGAAAAAAGAAAGTGCGGGGCCCCACAGCAGCCTTGAGCTTCTGCAGCACGTGGCGGAGGCTCCTTTTGTGGCCCTCGGCGGCTTCCTGCGGACTCGCGGCCTGGCGAAACTCCTTTGCAAATTTGTTTATTGAATAATTCGTCAAATGCATTTTCAAATCTTTCAAATTCGAAAAATGCGGCTTTTCGTAAAAGTGCGTCGCCAGACGCACCAGACCCTCCCGGTGTACGTACACCTACGCTTCGCCCACACCCACGCACACGCCCCATCCTCCGCACCAGTAGCAGCAGCAGCAGCAGCAGCAGCAGCAGCAGCAGCAGAAGCAGCAGCAGAAGCAAAAGTAGCAGCTGTTTTATGTTGTCAGCAGCAGTGTTTATTTTGTGTGTTCACTGTCTTTTATTTTATTTTATTTTTTATTTATATTTATCTAATTTCGTGTTTTTGTCTTTTTCCAACTTCTTTTATCTTTTTCCCTTTTGTCTGTATTTGTTTAAAAGCAGCAGTGCCTTTAAAAGCATTTATTCAAAAAGAATTAAAAATTAATTAAAACTTTTAAATTTATTTCTAAAAAGATTTATTTAAAAAGAATTTAAAATTAATTTAAAACTTTAAATTTATTTTTAAAAGATTTATTTAGAATCAATATAAATGTTCATTGCTGCTGTACATACACTCCAGCGAGTGGAGATTAAATTTTCAACTTTTAGGGTTTAGGATTTACGCTCTAGGGTTTAGGGTTTTCGCCCTAGGGTTTAGGGTTTAAAGGGCTTAGAGTACAGCCTCTAGGGTTTGAAACTCAAGGTTTAGGGTTTAGAGTTTAGGGTTTAGGGTTTAGGGTTTAGGCGCTAGGGTTCCAAATGGCGGATTTCACATTTTGAGAATTCAAAGCTCAGCGCTTCCGGTCTAGAGTTTAAAGCCTACCCATCAGGGTTTAGGGTTTAGGGTTTAGGGCTTAGGGTTTAGGGTTTAGGGTTTAGGGTCTAGGGTTTAGGGTTTAGGGTTTGGTTTTGACCCTGAGGGGGTTGCAGCCTGCGAGGAGCACGAAGAGGCGGAGGTCCCCCTTGAGGCCTTGCAGCAGCAAGGGTTTGGAAATATACTTTTGGACAACAACTTTTTCAATTGGATTTGGATTTGAATTTGAATTTAAATTCAAAATTAAATTCGAAATTCTTTTCGTCAAATAAATTCCTTTCCCCCGACTGCCCCCCTCCGGCTTCACGATGTACGTACACCCCGCGTGCGCGCTGCTGTACGCCTTCAGCGCCCCTGCGTCTGCAGCAGCAGCAGCAGCAGCAGCAGCAGCAGCAGGTTTGCAGTACGGTGAGAAGCAGCAGCAGCAGCAGCAGCAGCAGCGGGTTTGCAGTACGGTAAGAAGAAGCAGCAGCAGCAGCAGTGACAGGTTTGCAGTAAGGTGAGAAGCAGCAACAGCAGCAGCAGCAGCAGCAGCAGCAGCAGCAGCAGCGGCAGCAGGTTTGCGGTAGAGTTAGAAAGAGCAACAAAATCAGCAGCAGCAGTAGCAGCAGCAGCAGCAGCAGGTTCGCAGCAAAATAACTAAATTAAAAAAACAAAATAAAAAAAAATATATCAAACAAATAAAATAAATAAATAAATAAATGAAAACACAATAAAATAAATAAATAAAATAAATAAAATAAATTAAATGAATTAAATAAATAAATAAAATAAAAACCTGTTGGCAAAATAAAAGTGGGGGGGAAGAAGTTGTATTCCTCTGGGTAGTAAATTTGCATGCTTTGCAGCGTCCGGGCCAAAAAGTTTTTTCTGAAAAAATGAAAAAAATAAAAGAATTAAAAAGAATTAAAAAGAATTAAAAAGAATTAAAAATGAATTTAATTCATTAAGTGAATTGAAATAAATAAAAAGAATTCAAAAACATTCAAGAAATTAAAAAGAAAATGGAAAAGAAATGACACATATTCGTATTTTCAGAGAGTATAGAGGCCATGGAGACCAAACCCTAAACCCTAAACCCTAAACCCTAAACCCTAAACCCTAAACCCTAAACCCTAAACCCTAACCTCGTGATGGCGTGAGTGCCAAGAAAGTGGTTTATCTTTTGGTAGGGTTTCATCGCCAGCAGCTGCTGCGGTGTCACTGCAGAGTCGCTCCAAAGAACATCCTGAATTAAAAACAAATTTATTTAATTGCATTTTATTAATTTTATTTATTCCTTCTATTTGTTTTACTTTATTTAGTTATTACAAATTTTATTTGTTCTCCTTTTTAGGGTTTGGGAGGGCGCATGCAAGCAGTGGGGGAAGCCAAGGTCTTCAGTTAGCTCTTTGGCTAGCTAGCTAGCTAGCCAAAGAGCTAACTCTTTAGCTAGCTAGCCAGCTAGCCAAAGGGCTATCTAGCTAACTGGATAGCCAGCTAGCTAGCCAGCTAGCTAGCCAGGTAGGTAGTGAGCTAGCAAGCTAGTGAGCTAGCTAGCTAGCGAGCCAGTTAGCTAGCTAGTGGGCTAGCTAGCTAGCTAGCTGGCTAGCTAGCTAGCTAGCTAGCTAGCTAGCTAGCTAGATACCTCGGTGGCTCGCTGGCTAGGCACCTGTCCATCTAGTTAGCTAGCTAGCTAGCTAGCTAGCTGATTACAACTTGCTAGCTAACTTGCTTGCTAGCTAGCTAGCTAGCTAGCTAGCTAGCTAGCTAGCTAGCTAGCTAGCTAGCTAGCTAGCTAGCTAGCTAGCTAGCCAGCTAGCTGGCTAGTCTGGCTAGCTGGCTGCCAGCTAGCTAGCTAGCTAGCTAGCTAGCTGGCTAGCCAGCTAGCTAGCCAGCTAGCTAGCTTGCTTGCTTAGTTAGCTAGCTAGCTAGCTAGCTAGCTAGCTAGCTAGCTAGCTAGCTAGCTAGCTGGCTAGCTAGCTAGCTAGCTGGCTAGCTAGCTAGCTAGCTAGCTAGCTAGCTAGCTAGATACCTCGGTGGCTCGCTGGCTAGGCACCTGTCCATCTAGTTAGCTAGCTAGCTAGCTAGCTAGCTGATTACAGCAGCTAGCAAGCCAGCTAGCCAGACAGCCGAATAGCTGGCCAGCTAGTTAGCTGGCTAGCTAGTTGACAAAGAGCTGGCTAGCCACATGGCCAGCTAGCTGGCTGGCTAGCTAGCTAGCTAGCTAGCTAGCTAGCGAG